GAACTTGTTTTATTTAATTTTGGAAGGCGCACAGACGCACGGAAAAAATGACATATAACCCAAATTTTGATTTTGGGGCTATTTACATCTATAGCGTATTAATTGCTTGATCTATCATACTGATAACGACAGCTTTGGGCTGTCACCTCCTCTACCTCCTCACGCAGACTTCTCTCTTTGAGCTGTCACCGCCTCTACCTCCTCACATAGACTTCTCTCTTTGAGCTGTCACCTCCTCACACATACTTCTCTCTTTGAGTTGTCACCTCCTCACACAGACTTCTCTCTTTGAGCTGTCACCGCCTCTACCTCCTCACACAGACTTCTCTCTTTGAGCTGTCACCGCCTGAGGCTACCTCCTCACTAGGGCTGGGCACGTTCCGACTTTTTTGAACTTAGCCTTCAGCTAAATCGTTCTGTTCTCGTTCCTCTTTTTTTTATCATTCCGTTCTCGTTCTGTTCCGTCCCGTTTCGTTCCGTTCTGAGTAGAAGAACGGTCTTCCCGTTCCGTTCCGTTCTTGGCGTTCTTAGTTGAAGAACGTTTCCCCCGTTCATTTCTTAGTAACAGACAATTACATCAAAGACAAAAGTTTTATAGAAAAGAGTTGGTTAAGAAGTAAAAAAATACAATTTTTAAATAAAAAGTTCCTCACGGCCGTAAATAATACTTTAAATTATATATTTTGAATTTAGGGTTTAAAGAATAAGCTTAGATAATTCTGAGCAATGTATAATTTTGTGAGAGCGGGGGGAGAGGCGGGAGTGCTAATATCCTTAATTAAAATCTTTAACTATTTCTAGATGATTTAGAACACATTCCTGATTTAAAATGCGTTCCCAACTTAGAACAAGTTCTTGATAATAAGAACGCGTTAACAATTTTAACCATTCTTTTCAAGCAATTCTCGTTCCGTTCCGTTTCGTTCTTTTACTAATCGTTCCAATATTTTTAAGAACGCGTTCTAAGCGTTCGTTTTTTTCTTCGGAACGATGGGATCGTTCCGTTCGTTCTCGGCAAAGAACGATCCTTCCACCGTTAACGCGCCCAGCCCTACTCCTCACACAGACTTCCTTCTTTGAGCTGTCACTTCCTCTACCTCCTCACACAGACTTCTCTCTTTGAGCTGTCATTTCCTCTATCTCCTCACACAGACTTCTCTCTTTGAGCTGTCACCTCCTCACACAGACTTCTCTCTTTGAGTTGTCATCTCCTCTACCTCCTCACATAGACTTCTCTCTCTGGTCAGTAGGAGAAGGATTGGCGCAAAACCTCTTCCTCCATCCTAGAACGAGTTCGCGCCCCAAGAGAACCGAACATTTCCTCAGATCTCTGCTTATATACTCTTTATACCTAAAGTCTTATTCCGACGAGGTAGCAGCATCTAAACCGAACCCTTGAGATTCTTTAAACGTGTACATCAATTAACATGAGTGTATCTAAACTGCAACATACATCGGATGTGTCTGTGATGACGGATCAGCTTGGTTCAGGTATAGACCTACTCCAAAGGTACCTCATCCCAGACAATTAACTTCTGATGAAACCCTAAAATTATGATAAATTGAATTTTATGCAATTGAACAGTTTGGTAAAAATTAATTGTTAAAGAAGAAAAAAAATTTTATTTCTTATTTTTTTAACAGGTGTCAGCACAAATAATATATAAATGTAAAAAACAGAGTACTTCTTCTCTATTCAATACTGAAAGTTAAAGGTAACAAAAGGTATTTTCCACCTTTAACTTAGTTGTTTCAAGTAGTTAATAGCTTTGCAACATTTTTTACTTTCATGAAGAAATGTTTCAGTTGGGATTGAAGTGCAAATAAGATTGGTGATTGATTTTTTTTCAAATCTGGGAAATTAAAAATAAGAAAGCAAATACTTGTCTTTGATTCCAGTTTTATTATTTTATTTATTAAAATTGTCGGGCATGAGAGTTAAAACTCTCTAACTATTTATGCTGTGATGTCCTTCACCGGGGATGATTTTTGTAATAAATGTACTGTACTATATTGTACTTTACTGTACTGTACTGTTCTGAAATCGAATCTTTTGTGTGAATATTATTAATCTTGAATGCTTGATTTCCAATGGTACACATTTTAAATTTGAGGATTAATTCAATGCTTGATCCTGCAACTAAAATTATCCCTGCAGGGTGGGACCATCACAGGATATCGAAGAGGAGTTAAATTAATTTGAAAATCTGTAAAAGCTGGAAATCAATGCTTGATAAATTTTACAACTCAAAAGTTTTGACTTCTGTTTGCTTTGTTAAGTAAAAAATATTAAACTTTTAAAAAGTTTTTTATTTTGTGAATTTATGTTTTAATTCTAGAAACCCTATAAAGGCTGGGGGGGGGGGGGGGGTCTGAATCTATGTATAGCATAATAATGTAATTTAGGGTACTGACAGTCTTCTGTTAATACACAAATGTTATCTGCCTTCTCTTAGGTAATCTTTTATAGTTCAAACAAAACCAACGGTACTGTAGGATTTAGTGCTTTTTCCTATTCTATTATATAACTTACATCTTGAACAGGCGTGTAAAAACCCTTTTCCTTCTACCTATTACCAGAAAGTTTAGTTCCAACAATAGTTTTCTTTGTTTGTTTTTCAATCAAGCACGTTTTTTAAAAAATTATGTGATAATAGTTATTCTAAGCTTTTAAAAAAAAGTCCAAACATTTCCAGACCTATTAGAAGGAAGATATATTCTTACATGATTAACCCCTTCATTAATTTTTTAAAATTTTCATTGCATACATTTTAAAATGAATTTTATGTCCCTCAATCCTATTCCTGCGGGGGGGGGGGGTCAATTTGACCACCCCCTGTTTACATAACTTAAAAAGTATTAGTCTCGGGCTGTTGAAATTTTCTGACTTTTCCTAAATACCAATAGCCCTCCCTTCAAGTCTACAACTGGGCTTTTATAATAACTGCCTGAGTTCTTAGGCACCCTGCCTAATGACTACTTTTTCCTGTAATTGCACATTTTTAGTTTTTCTTAATTACACATCCGGTTATTAAAAATTTTGCAAACATTTTTGCATATTTGAAATGGCATGATTAAGGCCTTTTCAAAAATGTATATTTTATCATTTTTTGGACATTTTTTTGCAAACATTTTTACAATAAAACTGGAGCACACGAGCTTTCCAATGATGTATCATTTGTCATATTGCCCCCGAGTGTATACTTGTTTTCAAGTACCCAAGCGATAGAGTTAAAACCCGTCATGCTTAATTATTTTGCAAATTATACAATCAAAACGAATATGAAATAAATTAAGATTGGTGTCTATAAATTGTGTCAAATTTCGATACTGGCTTGCATATAACATCATCCAACCATGATTTTTCTGGCAGTGTAACAATCCAAAATTGGAATTTATGTAATGAGTCATAAAATCCTGAAATAGGTTTCCCGTATAATACAACGTCTAATTCTAATCAAAAGAAAGAAAAAAGAAATAATAGTTTAAATCAAATTTTTAAAAACAATTTAAGTGGCTGATACTAGGCTTGAAATGGATTGGCATGTGTTAAGCCTCCTTTTAGCTTTAAACAGCCTCAGCACAAGTTACTCATCTTCCCCAGGTAAATCTAATCAATTTTAAGTTATTACAATTTTAAAAAGTTGGGTTTTAATGTTGATTTTTGATTTTTTGGGCAGTAAATATTATATTTCCTGTTAATAAATTTTTGATAATAAAAATTCCTTCTTATCATAATAAGTGATATTTAAGATTATATTTGATGATGGGGGCAGGATTTTCAATGCAGTAATACATATTTTAAATACTAAACATGAATAAATTGATGACTTTAAAATTGTTTATAAGACCTCTGCTACTGGATAGAAGATGGAAACTCATGGGTTAATGGTCAGAAAGCATCCCTCAAAGTCCAACTAGATAAAGATTACACAAGCTGGGAATTACGTTACGAATTTTCAGAAGAAATTGTCAATTTGGAATCTTGGAAAGGAGACGTGAACTCCATCAATCAATCAGTTTACACAATTTCATCCAGATGTTATAATGGAAAACTTGTTGCTTGTCAAGTTTTGTCCCTGGGATACATTATTCGGCATTTTCCAGAACAAGAGCCAGTCTTTACTTTATTCCTCAATAATGTTACTGTTCCTCAATGTGATACTTCTTCTTCTACCCCTTATGCCACAACAGTCCAAAATTGTCCTTACACTTCTGACCCAGAGTATATACTAGCCTGTCAACTTTATGGGGAACTTGAAAGTATAAAGACAGCTGAAAATTCGAGTTCTTCAACTCAATCATCCCAAACATCCTCAACCCAAGCAGTTGAATGTTTATACCTAAGCAACCCAACAAGTAGTAACTTATTGTGTGAGCTTTGGTGTCAACTCCAATCATTCCAGAGTAAAAGATGTTCCACTATATCTACAACACAGATATCAACCCAAAGGGAAGAATGCCCCTACGATCTATTTACCAATAGTGAAATCCTCTGTGATTTGTGGACTCAAATACAAGAAGCAGAGAGCTCTCAAACAACTTTACAAAGTTCTGTTGGAAGCACTCTCAGTGGTCAAACATCAACAGAAGCTGTAGGTGTGCCTTACATAAGCTGTCCTTTTAGGAACATAACAGATGGGTATCTTGCATGCAGTCTTTGGTGTGATTTAGGGGAAATGGTAAATGGAACAGTTTGTACTGAGGAGCCTGAGTGTCCTTATGAAAACTACACAAGTCCACACAACAAAGAGTTGTGCTTACTTTGGTCTGAAAATGTAGATTTAAAAAATCAAATTTTTGGAACAGGTTCAAGTCAATCCACTCTGACTGGAGAATTTACACCTCTTTTTAATGAGAGTAACAATTTTGTAACATGTCCATATGTGGATTCAGTTTATGAATCAGAATATTGTGTGCTTTGGTGCGAAAATGAAAACATGAAATTTGGATCTGAATGTGCTGATTCTTCAACAACAGCGTTGACCACTCCCCTTCAATGTCCATATACAACATATACAAACAATGACATACTTTGTGAACTATGGAACGGAATACAAGAGGCTAAAACTACTTTATCTTCTCTTGATCCCGCAGGAAGTACACTGAGTGGGCAAACCTCTACTACAACTGGAAATAATGAAGTGCCCTACATAAACTGCCCTTATGCCAATCTGGCTGATGGAATTCTAGCCTGCAGCTTATGGTGCGAGTTTGGAGAGTTGGTAAATAAAACAACATGCATTGGCAAACCAATATGTCCTTATGAGAATTACACAAGTCCACATAATGAAGAACTATGTCAACTTTGGACAGAAAATATTGATCTTACAAGTCAGCTCTATGGAACAGGATCAACCCAGACAACACCTAATGGACAGTTCACACCACTTTTCAGTGATGGCAATAGTTTAGTTACATGTCCATACATGGGCTCAGTTTATGAATCTGAGTATTGCAAGCTGTGGTGTTCAAATGAAAATATGAAGTTTGGATCCCAATGTTTAGATGCTTATTCAACAATAAGATCTACATATGCATCTTCAGCAGCAGCTTCTACAACTAGATCAACTGCTGGTTCTTCAGGAGCATCTTCAATGAATGGATCAACAGATGATTCTTCAACAACAGCTTCTACAGCTGGATCAACAAGTTCATCTTCACAAGCAGCTTCTACTGTAGGATTAACTGCTGCTTCTTCAGGAGCAGCTTCTAATGATGAATCAACTGATGCTTTTTCAACATTAACTTCTACTGATGGACCTACCGATGCATCTTCGACAGCAGCTTTCACAGTTGTATCAACTGCTGCTTCCTTAGGAGCAGTTTCTAAGAATGGATCAACTAAAGGTTCTTCAACAGCAGCTTTTACAGAAGGATCAACTGCTGGTTCTTCACAAATAGCTTATACACCTGGATCAACTAGTGCATCTTCAACAGCAGCTTCTACAGATGGATCAACTGCTGCTTCTTTAGAAACAGCTTCTTCAGCTGGATCAACTGGTGCTTCTTCACCAGTAGCTCCTACTGATGGATCAACTGCTGCCACTTCAGAAGTAGTTTCAATGGATGGATCAACTGATGCATCTTCAAAAGCAGTTTCAACAGCTGGATCAGCTAATGCTTCTTCAACATCAACTTCTATTAATGGACCAATTGATGCATTTTCAACAGCAGCTTCTACAGCTGGATCAGCTGCTGCCTCTTCAGATTCAGCTTCTACGAATGGATCAACTGATGCTTCTTTAACTGCAGCTTTTACAAATGAATCAACTGTTGCTTCTCCAGGAGCAGCTTCAACAAATGGATCAACTGTTGCTTCTTCAACAGAAACTTCTAGTGATGGGCCTACTGATGTATCTTTGACACCAGCTTCTACAGCTGGATCAAAAGGTACTTCTTTAGGATTAGAGTCTACAAATGGATCAACTGCTGCTTCTTCAAGACCACCTTCTATGAATGGATCTACTGATGCTGCTTTAACAGAAGCTTCTACAGCAGGATCAACAGTTGCATCTTCACCAGCAGCTTCTACAGATGGATTAACTGCTGCCTCTTTAGAAGCAACTTCAACAAACAAATCAACTGATTCTTCTCCAATTCCAGCTTCTACAGATGAATCAACTTCTGCTTATTCACCAACAGCTTTTACAGCTGGATCAACTGGTGCATCTTCACCAGTAGCTTCTACTGATGGATCAACTGTTGCCTCTTCAGAAGTAGCTTCAATGGATGGATCAACTGATGCTTCTTCAACAGCATCTTCTACTTTTGGACCAACTGATGCATCTTCAACAGCAATTTCATCAGCTGGATCAACTGCTTCTTTTTCAGGAGTACCTTCCATAGATGGATCAATTGATGCTTCTTCAACAGCAGCATCTACTGATGTATCAACTGATTCATTTTCAACAGTAGCTTCTGCAGCTGGATCTACTACTGCTACTTCAGGAGCAGCTTTTACAGATGGATCAACTAATACTTCTTTATCAGCAAAATCTACTGATGGACCAAATAATGCATTTTCAACAGCAGCTTCTACAGCTGGATCATCTTTTGCTTCTTCAGGAGAAGCTTCTACGAATGGATCAACTGATGCTTCATTAACAGAAGCTTCGACAGATGAAACAACTGCTGCTCCTTCAGGAGCATCTCCTACAAATGGATCAACTGTTGCTTCTTCAACAGCAACTTCTACTATTGGACCAAGTGCAGATTCTTCAGGAGCACCCTCTTTGGATGTATATACTGATGCTTTTTCAACAGCAGCTTCTACAGCTGGGTCAACTGTTGCCAAATCACCAGAACCTTCTACAGATGGATCAACTGCTGCTTCTTCAGCAGGACCTTCTATGGATGGATCAACTGATGCTTCTTCAACAGCAGCTTTTTCAGCTGGATCAACTGTAGCGTCTTTGCCAGCAGCTTCTATGGATGGATCAACTGCCGCCTCTTCAGAAGCAGCTTCAACAAATGGATCATCTGATTCTTCTTCAACAGCAGCTTCTACAGATGAATCAACTGCTGCTTCTTTAGGAGCACCATCTATGGATGGATCAACTGGTGAATCTTCACCAGTAACTTCTACTGATGGATCAACTGCTGCTTCTTCAAAAGTAGCTTCAATGGATGAATCAACTGATGCTTCTTCAACAATATTTTCAACAGCTGGATCATCTGCTGTTTCTTCAGGAGCAACATCTACAGATGGATCAAATGCTGCTACTTTACTAACATCATCTACAGCTGGATCAACTGGTGCATCTTCACCAGCAAATTCTACAGATGGATCAAATTCTGCTTCTTCAGGAGCAGCTTCTACAAATGGATCAACTGGTGCTTCTTCTGGAGCATCATCAACAATTAATGCTTCTTCAACAGTAACTTCTACTGATGGACTAACTGATGCATCTTCAACAGCAGCTTTTACAGCAGGATCAACTGCTACTTCTTCAGGAGCACCTTTAACTGATGGTTCATCTGATGCTTCCTCAAAATTAGCTTCTACAGCTGGATCAACTGCTGCTTCTTCAGGAGCACCTTATACGAATGGATCAACTAATGTTTCTTTAACCACCACTTCTACTGATGGACCAACTGCTGCATCATTAACAGCAGCTTCTACAACTGGATCAACTGCTGTTTCTGCAGGAGCAGCTTCTACAAATGGATCAACTGATGCTTCTTCAGTAGCAGCTTCTACAGATGGATTAACTGCTGCTTCTTCACTTTTATCTTCTACAGCTGTATCAAATAATGCATCTTCAGGAGCAGCTCCTACAGATGGATCAACTGCGGCTTTTCCACAGACAGCTTCTACAGATAAATCAATTGAGGCTTCTTCAACAGCATTTTCTACTGATGGACCAATTAATGCATCTTCAACAGCAGCTTCTACAGCTAAATCAACTGCTGCTTCTTCAGGAGCAGCTTCTACAAATGAATCAACTGCTTCTTCTTTGACAACAGCTTCTATAGATGGATCATCTGTTGCTTCTACAGTAACAGCTTCTACAGTTGGATCAACTGTTGCATCTTCACCAGTAGCTTCTTCTGACATATCAACTGATGATTCTTCAACAGCAGCTTCTACAGATGGATCAACTGATGCTTCTTCATCAGTCACTTCTGACAACGGACCAACTGAGGCATCTTTGACAGCTGCTGCTACATCTGGATCTACTGATGCATCTTCAACAGCAGCTTCTGCAGCCAAATCAACTGCTGCTTCTTCAGGAGCAGCTTTTACAAATGAATCAACTGCTTCTTCTTTGACAACAGCTTCTATACATGGATCATCTGTTGCTTCTACAGTAGCAGCTTCTACAGCTGGATCAACTGTTGCATCTTCACCAGTAGCTTCTACTGACAGATCAACTGATGATTCTTCAACAGCAGCTTCTACAGATGGATTAACTGCTGCTTCTCAACAAACAGCTTCTACTGCTGAATCAACTGGTGTATCTTCACCAGCAGCTTCTACAGATGGATCAACTGATGCTTCTTCATCAGTCACTTTTAACAACGGACCAACTGAGGCATCTTTTACAGCTGCTGCTACATCTGGATCTACTGATGCTTTTTCAGGAGCAGCTTCATCAGATGGATCAACTGATGCTTTAACATCAGCAGCTTCTATGGATGGATTAACTGCATCTTCTTCAGTTTTAGTTTCAACAGTTGAATCAAGTGGTGCATCTTCAGCAGCAGCTTCTACAGACCAATCAACTGATGCTTCTTCAACAGCAGCTTCTACATATGGATCAACTGCTTCTTTTTCACCAACAGCATCTACTGTTGAATCAACTGGTATATCTTCACCATCAGCTTCTACAGATGGATCAACTGTTGATTCTTTAGGAGCAACTTCTACAGCTGGATCGACTGGTGCTTCTTCAGGAGCAGCTTCTACAGATGGATCAACTAATGCTTCTACAACAGCAACTTCTATTAATGGAACAACTGATGCATCTTTGACAACAGCTTCTACAGTTGGATCAACTACTGCTTCTTCAGGAGCCCCTTCTATGAATGAATCTACTGAGGCTTCTTCAACAGCAGCTTCTACAGCTAAATCAACTGGTGCATCTTCACCAGCAGCTTCTACAGATGGATCAAATGCTGCTTCTTCAGGGACAGCTTCTACAGATGGATCCTTTGAGGCTTCTTCTACAGCCACTTCTACTGATGGACCAACTAATGCATATTATACAGCTGCTTCTATTGCTGGATCAACTACTGCCTCTACAGGAGCAGCTTCTATTGATGGATCTACTGATTCTTCTTCAAAAGCAGCTTCTACAAATGAATCAAATGGTGGATCTTCACCAACAGCTTCTACATATGGATCAACAGATGCATCTTTGACAGGAGCTTTCACAGATGGACCAACTGCTTTTACTTCTGAAGCAGCTTCTATGGATGGATCAAGTGCTGCTTCTTTGACAGCAGCTTCTACAGTTGGGTCAACTGCTGCTTCTTCAGTAACAGCTTTTACAGCTGGATCAATTGGTGTATCTTCACCAGCAGCTTCTACAGATGGATCACCTGCTGCTTCTTCAGGAGGAGTGTCAACAGAGGGATCAACTTATGCTTCTTTAACAGTAACTTCTACTGATGGACCAACTGATGCATCTTCAACAGGACCTTTCACAGTTGGGTCTGCTGCTTATTCTTCAGGAGCAATTTCTATGAATGGATCAACTGATACTTCTTTAACTGCAACTTCTACAGATGTATCAATTGCAGCTTCTTCACTAACTTATTCTACAGATGAATCAACTGTGTCTTTTTCAGGAGCAGCTTCTCCAGATGGATCAACTGATGCTTTTTCAGGAGCAGCTACTAAAGATGGATCAACTGCTGCTTCTTTTCCAGCAGCTTCTACAGTTAGGTCAACTGCTGCTTCTTCTGGAGCAGCTTTAACAGATGGACCAACTGCTGCTTCTTTAGGAGCAGCCTCTACAGATGGATCTTCTGAAGCTTTTTCACTAACTGCTTCTACAGATGGATCAACTGCTATTTTTTCAAAAGCAGCTACTACAGCTGGATCAACTGCTGCTTTTTCACAAACAGCTTCTACAGCTGGATCAACTGGATCATCTGATTCTTCAGTAACAAGTTCTACAGATGGGTCAACTGATGCTTCTACTGTAACTTCTACTAATGGACAAACTGATGCATCTTCAACAGCAGCTTCTCCAGCTGGCTCAACTGCTACTTCTTCAGGAATACCTTCTACGGAGGGATCAACTTCTGCCTCTTCACCTACAGCTTCAACTGCTGGATCAACTATTTCATCTTCAGGAGCAGCTTCTGCAGATGGATCAACTGCTATTTCTTCAGTAGCAGCTTCTACAGATGGGTCAACTGATGCTTTTTCTACTGCATCTTCTACTGATGGACAAACTTATACATCTTCAACAGCAGCTTCTACAGCTGGATCAACTGCTGCTTCTTCAGAAGTACCTTCCATGGATGGATCAACTGATGCATCTTCACCTGCAGCTTCCACAGCTGGATCAACTGGTGCATCTTCACCTGCAGCTTCATCAGATGGAATAACTACTCATTCTTCGACAGCAGCGTCTACAGATGGATCAACTGTTGATTCTTCAGGAGCAGCTTCAGCTGATGGATCAACTGATGCTTCTTCAACAGTAACTTCTACTGATGGACCAACTAATGCTTCTTTGACAGCAGCTTCTAAAGCTGCATCAACTGCTGCTTCTCCAGAAGAAGCTTCTACGGAGGGATCAACTTCTGCCTCTTCACCTACAGCTTCAACTGTTGGATCAACTATTTCATCTTCAGTAGCATCTTCTGCAGATGGATCAACTGCTGATTCTTCAGTAACAACTTTTACAGATGGGTCAACTGATTCTTCTACTGCAACTTCTACTAATGGACAAACTGATGCATCTTCAACAGCAGCTTCTCCAGCTGGGTCAACTGCTACTTCTTCAGGGGTACCTTCTATGGATGGATCAACTGATGCATCTTCACCTGCATCTTCCACAGATGGATCAACTGGGGCATCTTCACCTGCAGCTTCAACCGATGGAATAACTACTCATTCTTCAGCAGCAGCTTCTACAGATGGATCAACTGTTGATTTTTCAGGAGCAGCTTCAGCTGATGGATCAACTGATGCTTCTTCAACAGTAACTTCTACTGATGGACCAACTAATGCTTCTTTGACAGCAGCTTCTAAAGTTGCATCAACTGCTGCTTCTCCAACAGCTTCAACTGCTGGATCAACTATTTCATCTTCAGGAGCAGCTTCTGCAGATGGATCAACTGCTAATTCTTCAGTAGCAGCTTCTACAGATGGGTCAACTGATGCTTTTTCTACAGCATCTTCTACTGACGGACAAACTTATACATCTTCGACAGCAGCTTCTACAGCTGGATCAACTGCTGCTTCTTCAGGAGTACCTTCTATGGATGGATTAACTGATGCTTCTTCAACAGCAGCTTCTACAGCTGGATCAATTGGTTCTCCTTCACCAGCAGCTTCTACAGATGGATCAACTGATGCTCCTTCACCAGTAGCTTCTACAGATGGATCAACTGATGCTACTTTAACAACAGCTTTACAACTACAACTACAACTACAACTACAACTACAACTACAACTACAACTACAACTACAACTACAACAACAACTACAACAACAATAACTACAAGAACAACTACAAGAACAACTACAGCAACAACTACAACAACAACAACAACAACTACCCTGTCTACAGCCATGTGTGATAGTGAAACAGATTGTCAAGCTAATGCTGGATGCTTTTTAGATGAAGTGGAATTTTTAGCAACAGGTTCAACATTTAAACAGTTTTTCAATGGATATATTTGTTAAACCATTAGTTTTGTTTATTTTAGACTTAAAATATTTTGCCTTCTGAAAAAAAAAACTTAGCATGTAACATTTGATCCCCCTACTAATTATCTTATAATTTTAATGATTTTATAATTTTAGGAGCTGTAATCACATTCTGCTACTGCTACCTTGGGTACTTTGCTCAGACAGGAGTAAACCCTGTTGATGACATATTTCCCAAGTACTATTTATAATTCTTGCATTCTAACAACTCCAGTTTTGCTTTTTACTGCAGAAAATTGAAGCTATGTTATCTTTTGTAAAAAACACTTCCTTAAAATGCTTATGACGCTCATATTGTAAATTTTACTTAAAATGATCTAAAATGTTGAAAGGGAGTATTCACGAAAAATGACAGGTGGTATAGGCTTACGTCAAAAATATTCGATGGTGATTTCTACTTATCTTACTTCTATCAGTTAGAAACAACTGATATTGCAGAACGTAGGGTCCATACAAATTCAGATCGTAAAAAATTGAATTCAAATTCAACTCGGATTGTAAAAAAAAATTACTTTATTTTAAACAAATAATTCAGATATCTCAACCTATAAACATTTTTTTAATGCTTTCGTATATAGTTGATTTTTCATAATATTATTCACTTTGTGTCTCTGCTCTTCATGCTTCTGGGGTTCCACGTGGAAGAGACTCCAACGACACCTTGCGACAAAAAAGATAGTTATTTCAAGTACATCGTATATGAAACACGTAAAGATATTATAAAATATCAACTATATAAGAATGCATTGAAAAAATTTCGATGATTATAGGTTGTTATATCTGAATGAATTGTTTGGAATTTTACTGATTTTTTTACGATTCAAGTTGAATATTGCAACTTTCTGAATTTGTATGGATGCTTCAATTCTTCGGTTTGAGTCGTTTTATCAATTTTTTTCTTATAAATGCAAAAGATAGAAGTAAGATTAGAAGCAATCACCATCGAATACTTTTCGACGAAACCCCTTTCATTTTTCGGTAACACTCCCTTTACTATTTGATAAAAGGACTGGGACCTGTATGGATCTAAAAGCGGGGGACGCATGTCAGTACCCAGATGCATGTCTCACTAATGAAGATCAATGGGGAGTTTGTCCTTACTGCAGGGTGAGTCCTAAATAGTTTAAGCGGAAGTAAAAAAATTGAACATGAATCCAAAAAAAATATTTACTGACCAAAACATTTTAAAATTGAACTATATAATCATTCATATTGAATTATTCTGTAGGAATAAGAAAGAATAACCTAAGATAAAATTAGAAATAATAAGCTAAGATAAAATAAGAAAGAATAAGCTAAGATAAAATAAGAAAAAATAAGCTAAGATAAAATAAGAAAGAATAAGATATTCAAAAATGTTTGTCACACATAAATTTATTCAAAGTTAATCAATAATGAGTTGACCTTTTGATGTCCGAATTTAATTTTAATTTGAGCCATGTCTTAAATCTGCCAAAAACCGGTGTCAATTCAACGCCCCCTTTATAAATCTTGATACAAAGAAACGATTTTAAGTGGAACCAACCATATTTGAGCCGTGGCTTTGTTTTAATTGCGGCTCAAATTCTTAAAAGTCGGCCTCAGGCCATTTTATTCCTAAATATCAAATAATTTATTCAATAAACTTGATTAAAATCAGTGGGAAAGTGAAATTAAAATAATGTATTCAGAGGCAAAATTTAAAGAATTTGAGCCGCAGCTTAAATTTATTAAATTCGGGCACAGGTTTTTTTAATTAAAATGATAAATAAATCTAAATATTTCTATTTGCTTTGATTAGCAAAATAGTTTAAAATTTAATATCATTAATTCAATGATATATATCGAAGGAATTGCCTTTGTTCATTTATATCTTGTGCCATAGTCAAAATAATGCATAATTTGATAAAAGCAATTTTAAACATTGTAGATATATGTGAGTCACCGGAAAAAAGGGACAGACCGCCTATGTAAGGTAGTTAAACTGAGCATGCTTACGTAGCCGGTCTGTCCCTTAAAGATGTTTAAAAGGAAAGAGACTGCACTGTATGCAGGGGCGGATATAGGGGGGTGGCGGGGGGACATTCGCCACCCCCTGACAGATTCAGGGAGGGGCGTAGCCCCTCCCTGAGATTTCGAGGCAAAAAATGTTCCCAATTTTATAAATCGTATGTGTTTTTCAATTTCAAGCTTTTTTTTATTTAATGGAAATCTTGACTTTCTTTTCTTCAGTTTAATTTAAAAATCAACGACAACAAGTAAATGTTATTGTTAACGATAAATTTAGAATTAGAAATTTGAAAGAAACTAGACTTAAGTTATAATATTGTTCATATCTAGTAATGTTCCTTAATCAATACTCATTTATCAAAATTGTAATATTGGTCCTAATTTTGATGCATTTAAGTAATTTCTTTTTGTTCTTAAATTGCTAATGTTCCTATTATTGTTCCTGTTCCTAATACTGTGTCCGACCCAACTTAAATCCCTGTCCTAATCCAATATTTTTGTTCCTAGTTCCTGAACAATCTTTTTATTGTTCCTAAATCCCTGTCCTAATTCATTATTTTTGTTCCTAATTCCTGAACAATCTTTTTAGTGTTCCTAAATCCCTGTCCGAATCCTTTAATTTTGTTCCTAATTCCTGAACAATCTTTTAATTGTTCCTAAATTCCTGTTCTAATCATTTATTTTTGTTCCTAATTCCTGAACAATCTTTTAATTGTTCCTAAATTCCTGTTCTAATCCGTTAATTTTGTTCCTTAAAGTTAAAAATCTAGTTTTTTAGTCTTTAGTCATTAATTTTGACTCTTTTTGAGTCTTTTAAGTCAAAAAAATTTTTTTGTTACTAATTATTATTTTTTTGTTCCAAAAAAATCTTGCCCCCCCCCCCTCACTTAAATCCTGTATCCGCCCCTGACTGTATGACTTCCCCAAATGCCCCATTCTCCAATGAACCTTGTTGGTTCCAACTTGAAACAAATGTCATCAATAACATCATAGAAATGTGTACTGAGAGTGTGTGCTTGGGTGACTAAATTAATTGTGGGTTAAGTGGAGAGAGACCGTGAATTTATTCTTAACAATGTACAATTAAATATAAGATTCTTCTCATATACCCTGAAGTTGTTTGGTCTAATTTTTCAAATTATTTTCTTGTTTAGACTTTCAAGCACTCTTCAGCTTTTGGGGGAGAGCTTTCTACTGGGACATACGTTAGTGGCTTAGGCACATTTCCTAATGATCCCATGGTAATGAAAAATCTGGGTTTTTTTCTTAATTTTTGAAAAATTATGTTTGGGGGGAATTTTTACTATAAGAAGTGGAATAATCTTCAACAATTAATATCGTGACTTGATGATCTTTGATGACCTTTGATGATCCTTGATGATCTTTGATGATATTTGATGATCTTTGATGATCTTTGATAATCTTTGAGGATCTTTAATGATATTTGATGATATTTGATGATATTTGATGATCTTTGATGATCTTTAATTAGTCAAATAATTTGTAACTTTCAATCTAACTGCAATAAAGGTTGATTCTAGAAATTATCATTGACATTTCCAATATGTGGTGTTCTTTTTTGTGCCTTCAAAAATATACGTTACAAATGTTGTTATGATTTAAATTTATTAAATAAAACCAAAATATCTAATTCTAAACTAAATCACTGAGTTGTCGATCCTGTTTTTTACTAGGTATATGAGGGGGGTTCAAGCATTAATTGTGGGAATGGAGCCCCCAGATCCAGTGAGGTATTCTGGTACTGTTGGTATGATACTGGTACCACAGATATTGTTCCTCTTAATACACTGTACGTACAATTTTATTACTTTATTTTCAAAATTTTAATAATTTTTGAGTAACAAACTTTTTAATTGAATGTTGTTTTATGAATCACAAATAGATGTGTTAAATATTTAAACACTAAAATAAAATAAAAATTTTTTTCATTTTATGTACAATTTTTTGTTTAATCCTATTAGAAAAGTGATTATTTCTTTGGTTTAATCAAATTGAGAGGAGGATTATCTCATTGATTTAATCCAATTAAGAGAAGGATTATCTACTTGGTTTAATCAAATTGAGAGAAGGATTATCTCATTGATTTAATCCAATTGAGAGAAGGATTATCTCCTTGATTTAATCCAATGAAAAAAGGATTCTCCCTTGATTTAATCCAAAGAAAAAAGGATCATCCTTTGGTTTAATCCAGGGAAAGAAGGATTATCTCCTTGGTTTAATCCGATTAGAAAAGGATTATCTTCTTTGGTTTTACCCAATGATAGCATAGATTATCTTAATCCGATAAAATTTCAGTGATATGTTCTGGGTGGAAGACCCCCTGTGTCATTATATTGGATACGTGTATACACCCCTGGCCTGTGACTGGGCTAAACCAGCTCTATAAGGTAGAAAACAAAATGTTGAAAAAAAATAAAAAGTTAAAAGTATTTCAGCAAAATTAGAGATTATCCTATCAAAAGCTCTGCTTTTTTTGCACGAACACTGATAAAAACTATTACCTAACTTGCTTCAAAGTGCTATGAGGCACAGCAACCCTTGCAATATTTTGCTATCTATTTAATATCTATTGAAGCATGTTGAAAGGGTTTAATTTCGAGTAATCTCTAGTTTTGATGGTTCAAATACGTTTTCCTACGCAAGTCACTTTTGAAGAGAAACCACAGTTGAAAATATTTTGTTTTGAAAATTAAATTAATTTCTATTTCATACTTGATCAGACAAGGATTCAACGGATAACGTTTTGATTCGGGCAGTACCATCTTTTCATGGAGAGGCATTTGAAATTACGATTACAACCAGAAAGCGGGATGTTTTCGTCCTATTTCCATTTCAAGTTATTGCAATATGTTTTTTGCCATAATTGTATCTTTTGAAAAATATTTCCCTGTTTTAGGGTATTTTTGAAAAAAAAGTTTTCATGTTGCAAATCTCGCAAAATTCATTTATATGCTGAACATTTTTAAACATTTTTTTTTACTGTTTTCTTGACTTCTTTAAATGTTATCTTGACTTTTATTTAACAATTGTATATGTTATTGTTAAACTCTTGCAAAATGTTACATTATGCTTCAAATGTTGCAAAATTATTTGCGAAAAAATATGAATATGCAATAATTATTGTCTATTTTCAGGAGGCGAAATGAATAGCGAAAGAAAAAAACTTATTGAAACCTTTTGAGATTTATATAAGTGTATTTTTAAATAACATTTATTAATGATGTTTTTGTTCATGTCCAGCTGTATATTATTTATTTAAACTGAAATGCTCTCTTATTGTCATCATATTTTGTAATATTTATCCACCTGCAGTATTTGATCGTATTTTGTAATATTTATCCACCAGTATTTTATCGTATTTTGTAATATTTATCCACAGTATTTATGTTAATGTTTAAACAGATATCCATGGAACAACATTTTTTTTATATTTTATCTTTATATTTATTAGTTTTAAGGGATTATATATATACTAGAGTTTAATGCTTATTTAACCAATGTATTTAGAGGAAGAATAAATCGCATATATAAATATATCTTTAACTTTTTTGTGAATATATACAGTTTAGAAAAACCATTGATTAATATTACTTACATTAAAATCATAGTTTTTTTTCAAATATTAAGTATATGGGTTTGAAGTGAATTAAAAATTCCGAGTTTTCAGAAAAAAACATTTTATAGTTTTAGAACTGTTTTGAAGTGAGTTTAAGTAATAGGATTTTCTGAATGAAAAATGTATATAAATTAGAGTGCAATATAATCGTTTTAAATATGATTTAAAATACTTCGTTAGATATAGAGAATAAAACTAGTGTTTCCAGTGAATGAAAACTTCCGCGAAAAAAGGCGAAAATTTTCGTTCTTATTTCGCAAACTTTTTCGCGAAAATGAATTAAGCGAAAAAATGCGAAAGCCATGCGAAATTTCGCAAAAAAAAATTCGCAAAGATTGTTTTCGCGAAATTTAGCCAAAAAATGGATGCAACAATTAATTGCGAAACAAAACTGGTGAAATTCTCTGCTCTGAGAGCTCAGGGTTAGAAGTTTTATTTTATCATGATTAATAATTTCTCTTTCTTATTTTTTTCGCGAAAATTTCGCATATTTTATTTAGTAAACATTTCGCATTTTTTGCGAAAAAATCGAAAATTTTCGCATTTATAGATAGCGAACGAAATGTGTAAAAATGCAAAATTTTCAGCGAAAATTTTTTTTCGCAAAAAAATAAATTTGTGTGAAACGACTTACCCTTTTTGGTGGAAACCCTAAATAGGGCGCAATTGGGAATAAAAAATTGAACCAACGTATGAATGCATGCAGCTTAATACATATTATTAGTGGCATACATATATGAATTTTTGCAAATCTTTTTTAATACACTGGATAGAGAACAAGCATGGTAGAAGCCGGTCCATGGAAAACACATGTTTAAAATCCTTTTTTTGTGAAAGATAAAGATATGTTCGACATTTTTCTAACAACACAGGTCTAAATTTTTTTTAAATAGCTTGCCTTAACTTTGACTTTATGGCTTAAAGTTCTATAAGCCATACTCCCCCCCCCCCCAACACAAAACTCTTGCTATGGGTTATTAATATGACAACAAAGATTTGTTTTCTTTCCTTTAAAGTAAATGGATTACGCAGCGTATTTTTCATAAACATTCTTATACACCGGAAGTTATTTCTTATCAAGTTATAAGTTTCTTATTAGTTCCCAGTATCCATCTGCAGTAATATCAATCAACTAGCTGGAGTACCCAGTATCCATCTGCAGTAATATCAATCAACTAGCTGGAGTACCCAGTATCCACTTGCAGTAATATAAATCAACTAGCTGGAGTACCCAGTATCCACCTGCAGTAATATCAATCAACTAGCTGAAGTACCCACTACCCAGTGTTGTCAAAGTCAAAGTTACTACAACTGTTTACCCGCGGTTTGTAAAAAATCTATATAATAGCTGAATTAACGGAATTCCACGTGGAATTCCAAAAATTTACAATTTTCTTCCATTTTTCAGATTGCAAAATGGATGTTAATTTTACAGGAAAATTTCTAGATTGAAACTGTATGTTTTTTAAAAAAATATTTCCATTTTTCTCTAAAATGACCAGTATGCAAATTTTTTTTGTAATTTTCAAAAATGTTTGCGCGGAATTCTGCAGTTTTACGCAAAGAAAATCCGCGCAAAGCATAATTAACGCATAACTGTTGTTCCATATACCGCTGGAATTCCTTGATTGGAGACTTTATTATAAACAATTCTTTTTTACTGTATTTTACTGCATTTTCCGATGAGTTAAGACAATAAAATATTTATGAAATTATAAAAAAAAGATAAGTGCGCTTTTGCTATCTCAGAAAAGAGTTCAAATGACAGTATGGTATTTTCTGAATCATCTTCATGTGAGTATTTTCTAGAATTAATTCAAAGTAAGTTAACGAATTTTTTGTTGTTGCAAATCCATCAACAAAAAACAGGCATATCTGGCATTTTTAAATTTTTTTATAATTCACTAGGTTCTTGCAGGGTGCTTAGCCCACCTTTTTCTGTTGACAATTTTAGCTTTTTACTGTAGTTGTGCAGGTGCTTAATAATTCCCAAATTTTGGCAGATTTTCTATCTAAATTGGGCATTTTAAAAATTTATGTTAACTTTTTTACGGGCAAAATTGATCAACTTTGACGGCCCATAAACTTTCCCTGGAGTCATACAAAATTTGTACACGGTCTTTTAGGTTGTTTTGACGTTTTTGTATACAAAAAAAGCAAAGCATATATTAAGAAGAAGAAAAAATGCAAATCACATACATTTTATAGCTAAATCTGTTGCTGGAAAAAAAATAATGAAGCACACTGGAAGTCTATACGATAGAAAAATGGATTATTTGCATAGAATTAATATTGAACAAAAACACAAACAGAGCTGAGTACTTTTGTTGGATATACATAATCTTAATTGCTTGATCTTGGTATCCATTGTGGTTACTTGTGACTTAAGGATCAATTTTTGGTCTATTTACTCAAGTAATTCCTCCTCTGATCCTAGTTCCCTTCAACCCTGATCAAGTACAGTTATTATGCGGAATAACGAAAAATATTAAATTAATCTGCAGATTAACAAAAGATCCCAAATGTATAAGAGTTCTCAGCTTACATGGTCACAAATGAAAGAACAACTCAAATTCGATCAAGGTTGTATAAATATAATGTTGTTTACTCTCGATGAGCTCCACTACACGGGATATATCGTCTCCTTCGCATTGATAGATACAATTCAAATATGACGTCACTCTCACCTCTATATTCAGTGACATGATGATTTTATCTTTCTATGCCTGGGAAACCACATTTCTCGTACATTGGAGCGCATCGAATGTTAGCAACCTTATAAGTTATAATACAACCTTGAATTCTATGGAATTTGCTTGAAATCTGTTTTCAGTGTTAGCTGGAATATTCGCCATTATCTTGGCAGTTGTTGGGACCTGTCTCAACCTTCTTTTTATTCTAGGAAACATCAATAATACTTTTAAACATTTTTTGATTGATTTTTTTACTAGAATATTTTTACTTCTTAAAGATAATGTATGCGTAGTTTCGATTGACTCTTCATCCACAGATTGCAGTGTATGATTCAAAAGGGTACATATACAAGGTTACCTGTAGAGTGTAGGGGGAAGAAATAGGAATTATTAGAGTTAAAAACTGAAAACCTTAGAAAAATTACAATATCTTCCACATTTTAGATCAGATAAAGGATTCAAGGGTACCGTAGTGAATCTGGCATTGCCATCTTTGCATGTAGGGTCACTTGAAATCAAATTTTAAACAGTCTAAGCGTCATGCTAGTTTTCATCCACAGGACACACCCCCCCCCCCTTTTATAGGAATAAGGTTAATCCACTTGGAAATATTAAGTAAAACCAAATAGATTCTAGTACAATAGATGGCAACGTAGAATTTGTACACTCTCAGTACAGTTGTATTCTGTCGTCACAAGTGTCAATTCAATTTTTGTGTCCGACAAAATCTTCAAAAAAAAAAGATAATTTTAGAATAAAGTGCTTTTCTTACAGTAAAATAAGTGCAATTTTATGTGTTCTTTAGTTTCTGTTTTTACACTTTTTTATTTAATCTTGGAAAACATGTCAACTAATGTGAGAAAATTTCGTTTTCCTTGTTATATTTGACACTTGTGACGTTGTGTATAATTGGTCCATTTCTCTGTTGCCACCTATTGTACTTGATAATCTATTTGAGTAAAATAAAAACTGGTAAAAAAATCTTTCCAAACTACATTTGTTTTAACAAACAAATCATTTATTTGGTACATAAAAGTTGTTGATTATTATGAATGTTTTCCTTAGCCTTATTGTTCCACAGGTAAAATATTTTTAGAATGCAAAAAAATGAATATTCAAATATTTAAAATCCATATTTTTCATGTTTGAAGACGAACTAGAGCTCATTTGACCACCCCCTTCATGTTGTCAGGTCAAATATCAAATCGTTAAAAAAGATTCCGCGCAATTCCGCACAATTCCGCAAAATTCCGAGAAATTCCGCACAATTCCGCGAAACTAAATTCTGATTGCTTTTAGTAAAATTTAAAAACCAAATCACTAAACGATTATATTTAAGACAAAAGACTTAATTTAACCTTGGCATTCTAAAAAAAAATGTTTTAGGTTATATTTACAGCCGCATCCTTTGTGGGTAACCCTGTATTTTGTATTAAACTCCGATCATAACCCATCTATCTGTTACAAATTTTGATAAATCCCTAAATTGTTATTAGTTTGGCTTAACCCTAATCCTGTTGGGGGGCGCGGGGGTCAATTTGACCCCCCCTATACCCATTACCCATAGCCCTCCCTTTAGGTCTAAAATCGGGCTTTTATACCAACTGCCTGAGTCCTGAGGCAAACTGCCCGAATGACTACTTTTTACACAAGGAAAAAGATTGCAGAAGTTTTGCAAAGAAATTTTGCAAATTATTTGCATACAACCAGTGAAAAGAAATTTGCACATTTTTTATTTTTATCAATCACACATCAGCTTATATAAAATTTTGCAACATTTTTTGGCATATTTGAAATAACATGGTCCAGGGCTTTTCAAAAGTGTATATTTTATCATTTTTTTGCAAACATATTTACTATAATTTTACTTTACATATGGAAAATACCGTTGTAATTATGACACGAAAAGTATTTATTTTTGAAAATTTCTTCATTTGTTCTTATAAACATGAAAGTCAGTTTCGCAGAGAAACTGCAAATGAAAATAAACAGTTTAAAGAATTAAAAACATTGATATCTAATTCAAACTATAGCACACGAAGCTTTCAAGGGAACCATTGCAATCTTTGCATGGAGGTTCACTTGAAATTACGCATGCAGTCCCTTTAAGATTATATTTTTTAGTTTCCGTCGCAGATTTTTGGAATTCTTTATTTAATTTACCGATTATGGCGGTCAGATTTATCTCAAGGTAATACAATTCTATTTTAAAATTTTTTAATTTTAACTCCGTTATTGTGTTATCAATCGAGCTATGTGTTCATACATTTATTGTAATGTATTGTTTATATATTTATTGTAGTGTATTGTTCATATATTTAATGTAGTGTATGTGTTTATATATTTATTGTAGTGTATTGTTCATATATTTATTGTAGTGTATTGTTCATACATTTATTATAGTGTATGTGTTCATATATTTATTTTAGTCTATTGTTCATATATTTATTGTAGTGTATTTTTCATATATTTATTGAAGTGTATGTGTTCATATATTTATTTCAGTGTATTGTTCATACATTTATTTTAGTGTATGTGTTCATATATTTTTTTTAGTGTATGTGTTCATATATTTATTGTAGTGTATTGTTCATATATATATTGTAGTGTATTGTTAATATATTTATTTTAGTGTATGTGTTCATATATTTATTGTAGTGTATTGTACTCTGATACTACTGTAATAACATAACTTGCAAACAAAAATTAATTTGGACAACTCCTTCTTTCTTGTTGTTTGGGTTAAAAGTTGAAAAGCCTTCATTTTCAAACCAGTTGTATTTCTGAATGGAAATATTTACACATTTTCTTTTTTAAAACTTTTCGGGTCTATTTGTTAGACACATTTTGAATTGACAGATTAACCCTATCTTTTGTGGGATAGATCCCCTCACATGAATTTTTCTCCATAATTAAAAAAAAATCCTTTTCTTTTTCTTTTATACTTTTTAACTTTGCAAAAAAAATCTTGTTTTACTGTATATTTTAAAGTAAAGACCGGTCGTTATATTGTGTAGGGTCAAAATTTTGCGGGGTATATTTCTAAAAAGTATTGACATACCTAGGTCTAGCTAGATTTGCGGGGTATACTTCTAAAAAGTATTGACATACCCAGGTCTAGCTAGATTTGCGGGGTATATTTCTAAAAAAGTATTGATATACCCAGCTCTAGCTAGTTTTGCGGGGTATATTTCTAAAAAAGTATTGATATACCCAGCTCTAGCTAGATTTGCGAGGTATATTTCTAAAAAAGTATTGATATACCAAGCTCTAGCTAGATTTGCGGGGTATATTTCTAAAAAAGTATTGACATACCCAGCTCTAGCTAGATTGGCAGGGTATATTTTTAAAAAAGTATTGATATACCCAGCTCTAGCTAGATTTGCGGGGTATATTTCTAAAAAGTATTGACATACCCAGCTCTAGCTAGATTTGCGGGGTTTATTTCTAAAAAAGTATTGACATACCCAGCTCTAGCTAGATTTGCGGGGTTTATTTCTAAAAAAGTATTGATATACCCAGCTCTAGCTAGATTTGCGGGGTTTATTTCTAAAAAAGTATTGAAATACCCAGCTCTAGCTAGATTTGTTATGTATTTCTAAAAAATTATTGATATACCCAGCTCTAGCTAGATTTGCGGGGTATATTTCTAAAAAAGTATTGATATACCCAGATCTAGCTAGATTTGCGGGGTATATTTCTAAAAAAGTATTGATATACCCAGCTCTAGCTAGATTTGCGGGGTATATTTCTAAAAAGTATTGACATACCCAGCTCTAGCTAGATTTGCGGGGTTTATTTCTAAAAAAGTATTGACATACCCAGCTCTAGCTAATTTTGCGGGGTTTATTTCTAAAAAAATATTGATATACCCAGCTTTAGCTAGATTTGCGGGGTTTATTTTTAAAAAAAGTATTGATATACTCAGCTCTAGCTAGATTTGCGGGGTATATTTCTAAAAAAGTATTGATATACCCAGCTCTAACTAGATTTACGGGGTTTATTTCTAAAAAAGTATTGACATACCCAGCTCTAGCTAGATTTGTTTGATGTATTTCTAAAAGTCAAAACTTATTCAGTATATTCTAGAAATAAGCAAAAGTTTAAATTGTTAGAAATTATTTTTTGTTTTTCTCAACATGGCTCTGCTGAAAGAGGATCGAGTTAATATTTAAAACCTGTAAAATTTGTACCTAATTTCATGTTGAAAATGTTTATTTCAGGGATTGGATGGGATTCCTTGGATTCGGAATATGTGAAATATATCCATTATCGTTCTACGGGTTCGCATTTTTATTTAAAAAAGAACTTTTTTTAACAGACAATTCATGCAGATGTTTTCATTGTGCCTTTACAATTCAGGACAATGGGAGCTAGCCTACTCAGGAATTTTCAATATTTAGAAAATTAATAATGGAATAAGTTAAAGGGTAATTTCCTAAAGAACATTTTTTGCCCCCCCCCTCCTTCTCCTTCTCCCCTCTACATCCCCCTCCTATTGCTTATATGTTAGACATGGTAAAATTTGGACATGAGCCCACAGCGCTCTCCCTCCCCCTGTAGCCTGCCCTAGCCGAAGTGCCCAACCAAGAAATTATCTAACCCTGAAATAATAAAAATTTTATTAATAATTTATCTGAAAAATAGTTGTCATTAACAAAGATTGATATGAGAGGGGCGGGGATGGGGAGTGCCCTCCCCCCGGTGGGGGAAGGAGGGAAGGGGAGGGGAGGGAGTCCAAAAAGCGTTCGCTAGTTACAGGTTGGAAAAAAATATTTAAACAATTAAGAGAAGAAATTTTAACAAAAAAATATTTTGATCTTTTTTTAATTTGACGTCCAGACAATTAATCGTATATCGAAACAGCTTAAACTCGTCAATTTCATTTTATCAATAATGTTTATTTTCATTCTTAAATAAATTTTCTAAATTTGAGAAAATTTAGTCTAACCATCATAACAGTTAACAGGTAAAAATAAGTCATTTGGAGAAAAATATTTAAAAAATAAATGTCAAATTTTTTTCAGAGCGTTTATTCTGTTCTTTCCCAACAAGGTTGACAGAATATTTTCTAATATTATTGTTGTCTGCAACCATAATATACCTACAAGTAGGTAAGGAATATTGTTTATTATTATTATATTCTGCAACCATAGTATTCCTACTAGTAGGTAAGGAATATTGTTTAATATTATTGTATTCTGCAACCATAATATTCCTAGTAGGTTGATATTGTTGTGGTTAAAAGATTTGTCACACTTAAAAATATATAAATATAATATTGTAATATAGTAGTATTACTTTTATTTATACTAATATTTTACAGTGTACTGATTCTACTATATGGCTAGTGGTATACTTTTTGAACTGATATATTATAGTATACTGATTCTACTTCTATGCTGGCTTGTACCTACTGGTATACTTCTTTTACCTACTACTGGTGTATATGGGGAAGTAGGGTAAGTAAAATGAAGATTGGTTTTTTTTAAATTTAAAATTTTCATAATTTTATTTTTTTAAACTAATTATGAGCTTTAATAAAAAAACTTTCTTCATTTTGAGAAAGAAATTACTTGCACTGTTAAATTTTTAAAATGCCGATTACTTTTTTATTAATTAAGCTATGGGTTAAAAATTTAAATATTTGAAAAGTGAAAAAGTGGGAAACATGTTATCAAGATTTAGATTTTTGTTCATAAGTATTCATTTTGAGCAAAAAAGAGACGCTGCAAGCAAAAATGTTTTGAATCTATTTGAAAAAATAAAAATTTTCGAGGTAGAAGGTGCCTGCTCTCTTTTCTTTTCCAGAGGGGGGGGGCGTGGGCCTTCCCCCAATTTTTCAGGGGGACGTCCCCCCTATAAACCGGCTCTAAAAGTGAATATAATATATATTTTCTCATATAATTTTTAAAAAATTGGTCTTAAGCTGCTTATCTCTTGCACTCAAAAGTTAAAGATCTGAAATTTTATGATGTTTTTTTTTCAGGTTGAATGATGCAACTCAAAGCTGCACTCTGCTCAGAGATGAAAAGGTTTGCTTTGAAACAATTCCATTAAGATTTGAATTGCAATTAATGTTTATTGTATTTTCAAAAGTTGTGTATTTTAATGAATTTAACATCGTTTTCAAACAAAAATCTTAACTTTTCTTTTTAAATGTTTAATTTTTTAAAATTTTGTTTCTTCAGGGACATACTGTTAAACCCTTGATTTATTTAGGAATATACAATTTAAATAAACAAAATTTGAAAAATATCAAAAAATTAAAATCAAAAATGGATATTTGAGATCTATCAAACTGAAAGATTATAACAATCTAAAGTAAAATCTATTTTTAAAAAAATTGTTCATCAAATTTATACAACACTTCAAAAGTATTTGTTAGGTTTTAAAAACATATTTTTTTAAATAATAAATGTTTATTTTAAATGGTACAAATGCAGTTGGATTTATTCTTCCTTGTGTTACACTGTTCGTGACAAATATTGCGGAATGATTTTAACAATGTCAAAAAATAAAATTAAAAATGTCAACATCTAAATCAATTATCTTAAAATTTATTATTGTTAAAATCATAAACGGATACAGATGGGGCTGAAGGTGAGTTACATTTATATTTTTTTAACTTAAGTGCTACTTTTTCTTTGTACACTTTATAACATTGCTTCTTAGCAATTTAAAAATAGATTTTTCTGTGTTTGCAATGATTTGGATTTCCAAATAATTTTTAAGATAATAAGTCAGCTATTGGTTAATACTGTATATAAATTGCATTTTAAAATAAAATAATAAGTCTTCTACTTCTATG